AAGGAATTCAAAAAAAAGACGGTTGTGGATATAAAGTCAGTGGCGTAAAAAATAAGGGGGGAAATATAAGCTATTACCCCGCTGGAACGCCACTGGCTACTGATACTGAAGCAAACATACCACTGGAGGAAGCACATTCTAGCTCGTAATCGATTTGCTGAGTTTCATTAATTTATTCCTTTTAGTCCGGGAGCTACGACGAAAAGGGTCTTTTTATTTTGCAACTTCAACGCCCTGTATTTCTGAAACGGCTCATTTCCGGACACACATGTCCTACCTCATTTTTCATCATTTTGCAAGAGGAATGACGTGGTATAAGTTTGTCCGTCGAATTCTGAAACACCCTGTATATGCGTATTGCATTTGTAGCATCTGACTTTGTGTTCTGTTCTATTTGTATTTTGTAGGGTTCATCAAACACAAACCTGGGTACAATTGCATCACTGGTTGCCTTCCGTACAGGTTGCGCATGGTGCGCTTCTCCGTAACATGGTCATTAACACAACCTTCTTTACGTACAGGTCCAGAGGGGACAGACCGGTAATTAATTCCATTGCCGCGGTTGGTGTTATTCTCATGACTCCTGTGATGTTTAAACAAGTCAATCGTTGTATTTCATATAATTTTTGGATGGCCGTTGCTTGTAGAACTTTCGGGGAGGGATCAATCCCCCTTGATCCCCCCTGGCTAAGGCCTTGCCAGTCCAGCTTCTCTTTGTATGTAGATGTGCAATGGTGGAAGTCCGAGTAGGACCTCAAGTGCTGCAGTTGGGGTCGTTCTCATGGCTCATGCTACACTTAGGCACAAATAAACTAACACGTAGTTGGGAAAGCGAGCTGATAAAAAGTGGGAGATGAATTACTATCATGTTAATTAAAAAAAAAAAAACAAAATTTATTGAAAAACTCTTGATAAAGGACTCTGAATTGTTGGTATTGTATATTTGAAATGATAGAATGTTAGAAAAAAATAGTAATTTCTATACAATAAGATAATAGAATTGACAACTCACCATAAACATTTTGATGTGTGATTTCATAGCCCTTTTATAATATGACAATAAATAATGCTTCAAAATTAGTAACTCACCGAACATTCCACCTCTGTAGTTGAAATTGACAATAATCAAATCATGCTCAATTAGATATTGGGGATTATACAATTCTGCAGTTCCTTCAACAAAAGCACCACCGTAGATGTAGAAAATTACCGGGTAATTGCTTTGATTGGGCTTTTTCTGTAACATACGGAATATTCACAATGTTGATGAATTATGTATAAATAAGTACTGTTTCTAAACACTACAACTGATACATTTATTTCGAAGCGTGGTTCACCTAGTTGGCGTCTTCAGGATTTGGAGTACACTGACTCCCAACTCCAATAATGATCTCTATTCATGTTTGTTTGAAGGTGATTAACAATGTTTCATGTCGAATTTCATTAGTTCGGACTTCCATTGTATGAATTGATGGATGTAGCCGTTACTACGTGGAAGGAAATCATGATGAAAAAAAGAGAAGTGAAACTTTCTATGTTTATTCGTTATCACAATGGTAATAGGAAATTTGGATTCATGTCCAATGTTAACATACCTGTGCAACCTCATCGCTGGTAGCTTTAACAAAGCTATTGTATTTGAAATATTTCTTTCTCACTTCGTGTGCAAATATTCGTTTTCCTGACTCAGTTGTTACATTCAGTTGATTGGGAAATATCGAGGGACTCCATTCGTACAGCAGAAAAAGAAATCGCAGGAAGGGTATTGCTACAAAAACATATATTCATATGAATATATCAGTGCAGACACCTCGTTGAGGTTTTCAGAAGTGAACAAAGAAATTTTGTATTTGCATACCATCCTCTTACGGAAACCAAAACATTATTGCAAGATGCCTGCAGATAGGCCAAAATAGTTACTAACAACAACATTCGTATTGAGAAAATATGATAATCATGGTAAAGACGTTTGTGAATATACATTTGATGGGGCCAGGAGAAAAAATGTTCACGTCCATTATTCGCCAGATTTGAATTTATGGTGGTATTAAACCCACTCCAGACGGAACTTCAGATCGCACAATCGTTCCAGGAAAAGAAACATTTAGATCACCTGAATAATGTTGATTGAAGTTTTCATGTCCAGGAGAAGGGACTGATGAAGCTGCTTGCATCGACCTCCTTTGCAAGGGAGTTGGCAGCCTCATTCGTCTCCAGGCCAGTATGGCTAGGAATCCAGACTCGAGAAGAGTCGATTTTGGCAATTCGCTACCAATTTAGACGTTGCTCGGTAGGAATTTGAAATAAATAATGACAGCGTACGCAGCGCCTTCTAGATGTTACATTGAAATCAATACGAAATTGTAATTTCCCCAAAGTTCGTGCAAATAACTTATTTTTTGCAGAAGTAATTTTCTTAAAACGAAAAAATAAAATCAAATTCAATACCCTGTATTTTCTAAACGAAGCATATCCAGGAAAAAGTTTGTATAGACTTTTTTCAATTATCTCAGGAATGAGACAGTTAAATATTATAACGTACTCATGTTACATCATGTATAGGCGGATTATCTTATACAGCGATGTTGTAAAATGACATGAAATGTGGCTAGATCACTTCCTGATAGTAGTGTATTGTTTCAGTTTGTATATTCATAAGGGCCTGAATTGATTGAGGAGCTTCAAATGTCCAAGTGTCTTCCAGTTTACTCTATACGGGGTGTGTCAAATTCGATCCTCACCATTGGGATCTAGGAAACTATAGGAGATACGAAGATTGTTGAATAGAGACAAAGTTGCGCATTTACCTGACTAACAATATGCCGTTGAGAAAGTTCTAAAATTCCGAGTATATCCGGAGATATCCGGAAAAAACAGAAATTTCGGAAAATGGTTTTTATTTTTTTCTGGGTTTATTTTTCGAAGCATTCGAAAATGAATTGCACTTTCACTTTGCCACTTTTTCCCTGCTACATAATGGTGTTGCTATCCGAAGTTTCGTCTTCCGGCCACCATCATCAACTTATAACGTTTTTCTTATGGGCTTCACATTGGATTCTTTCTATTTTGAAAAGAACCAGATTTTACGTTTTCAATGATGTATCATAAGTTATCATTCTTTNCATGAACCTGGAGAAATCTACACGTCAAATTTCCTCCGAAATGAATATTTGTCATATAAGTGCTTCGAGACATCTCAAAGAAAGCGGTTTAAAATGTTACAAAATACACATATCCCAAAAATTGCATCCAGGTGATCCCGAAAGGCGAATATACCTTGGTAATTGGCTAATAAGAAGACCTGATTTTCCTGTTTTCCTGGAGAATGTATTTTGGACAGTTCCGAGAAATTCGACCTCAAGTGCGATTCAGTATTAACGTGTGGGCAGAAATTCATAAAGATAATTTTGGGTCCTCATTTGAGTATTTGACGGAATTCTGAATGAAGAAACCTATCACCAGTTTTTAATGTCGATTTGATTTTCGAAGACTAGTAGAATGATCTACCTTTAGTTAACTATAACAACATCTGGTTTCAACATAATGGTGCTCCACCGCAAATTACCAGACGAGTATCTTATTACCTGACTGGAAGATTTGGTTCTTAATGGATAGGGAACAATGGGCCGATGAGGTGGCCAGCAAGGTCTCCAGACTTGAGTGTTATAGATGAATTTTCATGAGATACACTGTAAAATAGAGTTTATGGTCAGAGGGAATATCAAATATTGAGGACCTTCAACATATCATTGTTAGAGAGCTCGGAAAATTGAGGAGGAGGGAAATCAATCGTGCAGTGAATAATATTCAAAAAAAGCACTGCATTTTGAGCATTTGCTGTGATTTACCTTCGTCTTTACATTTTAGTTAATTATTGTTTTTTTTTAATGTTCTATTTTCATTGAAAAGGACACAATGTCTAATTTACCTCATTTACACCTCATTTATCAAATTTTGATTGTTGATTCTGCCTCCATATTTTTTCATTGGCTTTTCAAACGATCCAAACTCGGAATAGAAGTTTAAATACATTTCCGATGTCCTAACACTGTTTCTATCGTATTTGTACTGAAATTGTATCATATCTCTTTTTTCTTCATTCGTGGAAGCCATTTTTCGCGAAAAATTCAATGACTTGTACAATAACAAAATGTCATTGAGTGTAACAAATTGAAAGTCAAATTTAGAAACATCAAAGTCAAAACCTATTATGATGAGAAATAATGTTTTTCAATATCTCCAATTTGTCGGAAAAAAATGATAACTTATGATACATCATTAAAGAGGCAAAATCTGTTTATATTCTAAACAAGCGCCCATAAGAAAAAATAAAGTTCATGATGGTGGCCGGAAGACGAAACGTCGTATAGCAAATCTGAAAACACCATTATGTAGCAGGAAAAAAATAGCAATGAAGAAGTGCAATTTATTTTCGAATCCTTCGAAAAATGAAGCCAGAAAAAAAACATTCTCCGAAATTTCTGTTTTTTTCGGATATCTCCGGATATACTCAGAATTTCAGAAGTTTCTCAGCAGCATATTGTTAGTCAGGTAAATGCGTAACTTTGACCCAATTTTACCATCTTCGCACTCTCATAGTTTCCGAGATCCCAATGGTTAGGATCGAATTTGAAACACCCTTCATATTGCCTTGAACCCCTCAAACTAACTTGTGATATTTTCAAAGAATCTCGATGTTGAATAAATGTGATATATTCAAAATGATCATGAAAATATGTGATATATTACTCGACTCTACAACTAAAAGTGGGCCACAAGTTTTATTTTAACTACTAATGGAATAATAAAGTGTGTATGTCACTCACCCTCTCCAAGAAAAGCAATTTCATTTGAAGTCATACCAGTTAACAGTGGTACCTTTGCAAAAGACCCGCTTTTCAGAATATCCATCTTGTTTTTTGTTAGGAAAGCATGCTCATGGTTTTTTTCTATGATAGGAGTGAAAGGTAATCCATCTTCAAGAATATTAGGAAGAGCCTGAAACAGATGCAAAAACTTTTTATTGTTTCATATTTCATGCATGCAATCCAGCATTTTTATGGAGTGCATAAAAAGTAAAGAAATTACCGCAAGAAACGCTCTATTTTGAGCTTTTTTCAGATTATCCAGTTCAACTTCTCGTAATCTCTCAATCAGTTCGGTTGAATTGTTAGTTCTGATTCCAAGATACGATCCGATATCGAATGCTGTTCTTCTGGGATATTTCTGAGTACTAAGCTCACCGCTCATCTGAAAATTCATCAACAAATATATTGAAAGATGATAGATAGAAATGGAACCTCCGACGTGGAATTAATGTATTGAAAATATTTTACCCACACCAGAAAAAAGTACTTTCTCGACGTACGTTTCTTCAACCAAGTTAACATTTTCAGGACATGACTAAAATTGGAGAATGTGGCATAATGGCGTTTTCGGAAGGATGAGACCGCATGAAATGGAAATTGTGATAGTAAATGTTCAATGGACTCAGTAACCTCGCGGCTAGCCGCGAGAGATCTGAATATTTTGTTTATGGTCAGTCAGGCAATCGTGCAGATACCTCAATGAAAATGAGGAGATCCAAACTTCACACTCCTACTATTCTGATATTTCTTATGGAAAGGGTGATCCACTGGTCATTTTGAATGTCGTTGCTTCACCAAGTTTGAAAACCGATGAAGGCATTTTTTTTTATGAGGTATAACGTTCAAGATCATCCATGTAAAAGGAGAGGAATACATCTGGTCTCGGATGATTCTACAGTTTGATCTAGAAACATTAATTGATTTCAGTGCGAAATTACTCACTTGATAAATGCATTCCACTATTTTCTCGACAACCTCATGAAATAATATAGCTGCTTTGAATTAATAGATCCCAGCCGGATACAGGTTATGAATATTGGTACATTGTCTTGTGTATGTGCAGCAACCAATCAATATGGAATGTGCTGTTCAACCTAGAAACATGACTTGAAGATTCTGTCCTGATTATACCAGTCTTCTCCACGGTTCAGTCTCAACACCATCCAAGCATTCAATTGTGGAGTTCTTCGAATCTGGATTATCGCGTTGGGATGTTCATTAGGCTCAGGCAGCCTCAGATAGCTCTTCACCAAAAGTTTCAAATCATGGTAGGGCCAGAGTGTCTGGGTTGAGTGTCTCTGGATATTCCTGAATATGCTTTCACGAGGATCGCAATCAGAGATCGGCAGATTCACAAGACTTTTGAAAAGACGAGTAGTTTTATCGTGGTAATCAATATTTTTCGTAATGTTTCTTGTTCTCTCCACATGTGACTTTTGATTAGCTGATATAACTGACATTCCATCAGATTAATACTGCTTGGCGGCCAGCAGCACCCTTCAACACAACTGTCATGATTAGTCTGGGGCGCGAAGAACCTATTAGCCAACCGATAATCCACCTCAGGTGTCTGGTGTTGTATTGATGAAATGATTTGAGCTCTCATGTGGTACCAGTTTACAAATTCAATGATTGCGGGATTATAGATGTCCTATTCTGAAAGAAGTGGAATTTATTTTATTCCTTCTTTTTTGCTTCTCCTCGAGAATTAATTTCATTGGTGTAGCTGTTAATATTTCAGACATTCCCTTGGTACATTTTCTAGTTTTTTGTTTTCCAGAATATGACGGAATGGTGAAAGTTCTGCAATGCTGACTTCGCCTTTGTTAAAGCACTTATCACTTCCGAATTTCGTTTAGGACAGGATTGGGGTATAATTGGAACGTTGGAAGTTGACGTGCCGGGATCAGGCTGATTTGTGAAGTCCAAATCATCAGATACAGTAGGCAAATATTGACTAGCAGCTCCAAAAATCATCTTTGGTGAATTTATCTAGATTGAATGGGTGGATTCCAGATGAGTTGTAACCTGATATAGCTTTTTTCATTATCGCAATTTCAACGTAGGCGTTTTTAAATATTTCTGCCAAATCTGGGAAAGTTATTTTCTCTTGCTTGCCAGTTTTCAAAAAAATATCGCACTCCTTATTGAAAGCGCATTTGAATGGTCCGAAAAATGAAGTATCGAGAGATTGTAAGCGGTGGGAGGTATGTGGCGGTATTGACAACATGTCAATTCCATCAACTTTGCAATAGTTATAAATCGGAATGGATATATGGCTATAATGGTTGTCGAGCACCAGGAGAATACGGTTTGCTTTATTTGAATTTACATGCAATTTAAAATGGTGTAATCACTGAAGAGAACATTTTTCGTCTCTTCAGCCATTATCGGTAATAGCATAAATTCCCTCTAGTGGTCCATTTTTCTTCAAAGTAGGAGACATTCGTTTCCGCGGAAATATTAGGAGCAGTGGAATAAAGGTCCCAGAAGCACTCATTGCGCATATGACAAGTATGTTCTTTCTACGTTCCCCAGATATTTTTGATCCAAATTGTTTTACGCCTTTTGGTCCCAGTTGCTCAGTTGGCTTCTGAACAGTTGAAATCCCAGTCTCGCCGTTACAACCACAGCTGAGAAGATAGAGGGTATTCCTAGTTTTGGACCAGATCTGTTGTTGCGCGCTCTCAGTGTTGCCTCGTGAATATTGAATGATCTGGTAACCTCCCGAATTTTTCTACAAGAATCTATTGCCTCCAATAGATTGCGTTTCAACCAGCGATATTTGTTTTTTTTCACGAACTTGTTAGGCATCTGAAACAACAATATAGGCAAACAATATGGGTATGAAACAAATGTATTGATGGTTTCGGTATTATGCGGGTAATGGTATGCCAATGAGGGTAATCTTACGCAACCACGTATCATTACCCAATTTACGCCATTCGTCTTATGAGCTATTTGAACAAATTATTGGTCGATATTGCCATGAAATATATACGGCATTTGGATCAGTAGGGGCCAGTTCATTAATGAAAAAAAAAATAGAGAAACTTTGAAATCACAATGTAATTCTTACCTTTACTTGAATCACGCACAAATGCTATAACAAAAATGCCGAAAACTAAAAATGGTCCATATCAAATGAACAAAAGCGTAGAACTGAAACGTACCGCAACAAAGTTGTTGAAATACGTATGTGCCATGAGTGTATCCAATTAGCACCGACATTCAATGATTGCTTGGTCATACAGCGCCAAGCGTACCATTGCCGCTGCGTGTCATTCCCCGCCATTCCCCTAGCATGAGGTGTGTGGCACGTAACGTCATCCTATTGAAACTACATGTCGTTGGTGTCTAAATCATCCAAATCAAGACAAAACGGTAGGTATTCATCGATCTATAGTGATCGAGGCCGATAGTGATGGCCTGGACAAGGTCGTTCTCAAAGAAATATGGACCAATGACGCCCGAATCCACACCAAACAGTGACTTTTTCGGGATGCTTTGAACGCTCCCATATGGATTGGTGTCGTCAGAAATTCGACAATTATTTCTATGTTCTCAACCACTTTTATTTGTAACTTACGTTACTGCAGTTTCGTCCCACAAGGACATTTTCAATCGTATACATTAAAAAAAAATGGTGAAAAACATAGAAAGTATCGCTTTTCTTAATTATGATCTCCTACCACGTAGTAACGGCTAAATCTATCAATTCATCGACAATTCTGTTTATTCACGTACCCATTCATCCAGAATTGGGCCTCATCATTGGATATGATTTTTCGATGGAAATCAGAGTCAGTTGCTAACTGCTCAAAAACACATTCAGAGAACACATGTCGTTATCTGTGGTCGTTTATCTTCAGTTCCTGGGTAAGTTGAATTTTGTATGGGTGCAGTCTCAAGTCACGACGCAAAATTCCCCAAGATGTGCCCTTCGAAAGGCCGAGTTCCAGTGAGCATGCTCTCAGAGACAGTAGACTCGGTAGATCTTGCGTTTCGTCAACGTACAAGTGTTGGTTGATCGTTCACTGAACCAGTGTACTCAAATTTATCCACCACACTGAGAATAGTCCTCTTAGTAGGACGATTACGGCGACCGTAAAATGGGCGGAGCGCGCGGTACATTGCCCGAACAGAACACCTATTTTGATAAAACAATTTTATTATTTGCACGTGTTGTTGAATGCCTTATCTGTCCATGAGGATTTGACAAAACAAACTGAATAAATGACATTTAATTCGATAGATGTAGCTTCATCAAGAAAGCCGTTATCAATTGTCAGAGTTTAGAATTCTCTATTGGAAGACCCTGTAGATCGAATATATTATACATACCTCTCCGCTCAATCCTATAACACCACAGTACAGTCCCCAACTTTTTGGGTAAATCATTTGGTATAGAGCGCTCGCACTCCCGGAACTATGTCCGGCCATTGTTACTTTTTTGCTATCGCCTCCAAAATTTTCGATATTCAAATTAACCCATTCAAGAGCTGCGAATTGATCCTTCAGACCATAGTTGCCGTAAGAGGCTTCGTCTTCCGTACTGAGAAAACCTAAAAAAAATTACTGTAACTATACCGCTGTGTTTTTTTAATTTTTTTTATGAGATTCAAGAATCAGTAAGCACGTGCTTACGTTTTGTGATTTTCCAAAGTTTTTCTTATGAATTCTTTGCGTTTAGATGCAAGAAGACTATTCATCAACTATTTTGTTTTGAATCAATATTTCTCAATCTGAATCCCAAAAGTTCGGTTATCTTTTGTCGCTCATTCAGTATAACGGAGTACTTTACATCTAAGTACATGACTCCAACTCATTTTCTTCTCCGGGAGAAGGAAATATTCTGGTTCTGGTGCAGGTGTTTTCAGTCGCAGACCCAGGACAGAGATATCTACCTTTCTAGGAACATATGCGACTGTATTTCAAGTGGAAATTTACGCTATTGAATTGTGTGCGGAGAGATAAGAAGAATCCAACTCCATACACGAGTCAATAAAAATATTGTCGGAAAGTCAAGCGGCGTTGAAAGCTCTTGGCTCCTACCGAGCAACGTCTAAATTGGTAGCAAAATGCCAAAAACAACTCTCCTCGATAGCAAGATTCAACAGATTGTCTCTGGTCTGGATTCCTGGCCATACTGACCTGGAAGGCAATGAGGCTGCTGACTCCCTTGCACAGGAGGGTGCTGCAAGCAGCTCCATCGGACCAGAACTTGACATTGGCATCGCTTTAGGTTTTGCCAAACAAACATTGAACACCTGGATGGCAAGAAGAATTATAGACGACTGGCAGAATATTCCAGGATTGGCTTACTTCAAGGGGTTTATTATTCCTTCGAAATTTGATACCAAACAGTTTTTGGACTACAGTAGGGATGATTTACAATGTCCAACAGACCTTCTGACAGGTCACTGTCAATTGAATAGTCATATGCAGAGACTCGGACTGTCGGAAGACAGTGTGCCTCTGTTTTGAAATGATGAAACAGCGGGGCACATACTTTGTGCCTACTCCGCTGTAGACTGAATCAGGTTTTTAGAATTCGGCAGAACCGTACTCTTACCATCTGACCTGACTACTACTCACCATACAAACTAATCGGCTCCGTCAAGAAGCTGGGTTTATTTGGTCGAGTGTAAATCGATGCACAGTAAACACTGCAGGCAGATCCTATACTAGGAATGCCCGTGGATAACACAGTTCCGCAGTACAACTTTCAAAAAGATTTCAAAATCATCATACCAAATAGAGAGGACTGGCAAAACGGCTCACCGGTAAAAGCGGAAGGAACTTAGTATACAGATGGCTCAAAGACTCAAGAAGGAGTGTGAGCCGGTATATATGGAGGCAGAGCAAAGACGAAAATCATACTCAGCCTCGGACATAATGCAACTGTGTTCCAGGTAGAAGTAGCGGCCATGGAACACTGTATAGGGGAAATAAACAGGCAGAAGCCAGGTGGCAGCTAAGGCGCTCAGCTCATTTCAAGTCTTCTCAAGACTAGTGGAAAGCTGTCTGAGCGCACTCAAGGACCTAAATACCCAAAATAGGGTCACTCCAGCTTGGGTACCTGGCTCATCCAAGGCTATGATCGGCCCAGAATCCTTCTGCTGGGTAGCGAAAGCATGTATAAAGACATCCATAAATTGTCTATATACAGGGTGTTTCAGAATTCGGCGGACAAACTTATACCACGTCATTCCTCTTGCAAAATGATGAAAAATGAGGTAGGACATGTGTGTCAGGAAATGAGCCGTTTCAGAAATACAGGGCGTTGAAGTTGCAAAATAAAAAGACCCTTTTCGTCGTAGCTCCCGGACTAAAAGGAATAAATTAATGAAACTCAGCAAATCGATTACGAGCTAGAATGTGCTTCCTCCAGTGGTATGTTTGCTTCAGTATCAGTAGCCNGTTTGCGGCACTGCTACTCTCTCAGTAGCTGACTGAAGACTGCACTCGCGCCAGAATATCACAGAATGGAGTGTTTTGGGAAGCTATAGGCAACCAATGAACCGTGCGTGCATTCGATTTGAAATGCCAGTGATTTAAAATTTGTATGGCCATGTGAGACCCCACCTGGGCGACGCCGGGTTAACGGTGTACTGGTAGACGAACATTGTTTTCTATACATTCCCATGTCACAGTCAAACAGAATTTGCATTATTTTTAGTTCTGTGCCTGAGCACAGGTGTGAGCATCATATTTGCTCAATTTGTTTGCTATATGGTAGACTGGTAGACGAACATTGTTTTCTATACATTCCCATGTCACAGTCAAACAGAATTTGCATTATTTTTAGTTCTGTGCCTGAGCACAGGTGTGAGCATCATATTTGCTCAATTTGTTTGCTATATGGTAGACTGGTAGACGAACATTGTTTTCTATACATTCCCATGTCACAGTCAAACAGAATTTGCATTATTTTTAGTTCTGTGCCTGAGCACAGGTGTGAGCATCATATTTGCTCAATTTGTTTGCTATATGCTCTCCAAAACCACTATATTAATTTATCCTTTTTTCACCAGCATCACGTATGATCTGTTGAGCCCTTCCTGAGCATGATAGCAGCATGCACAGTGGTTAATGCAGTGAAATATGAACAAGGACACCCAATCCGCCAAACGTTGCCTTGCTTTCATTTAATTCTGAATGAACAAATATATAATTTCAGATTGAATATTTTCTTATAATTTCAGATATGTTTGATATTGGTGAATTATTATAATATATCAACTTCGGAAAAAAAGTGTTTCATGGTGGATATTTCGTTTAATTTTTTTGGTTGTGCATTTATTGAACTTTTCACAGAGTTGAAACTTAATGTATCATTATGATGTTTCAGTTCCAAAATTCAAACATGTAATGAATACATAATGAACTTTGATTTTGTACAAATATTTCAGTAGTATACAGAACGAAGCTACGGTTGTGTTCTATACACTTCGATAAGTGACCAAAACGAATTGCTGAACTCACCCTGATAGGTGTGTAAACATTGATATATAAACAGTCTTCAGTACCATGTGTTTGGAAAAGATCGCCAATGAATCTGAGTTGCGTCTCTACACATCCAGATTGCATTTTTGTTACGTCTAAGACCCCTGTCCATCGTTGTACTGGTTGTGGGGCCTGAAAGTTGAAAAAGAAAAAAATTCAGCACTATTCGATTCTGACTAGAATTATATACTAGACTAGAATTATATACAAACAAACGACATACTAACATATATCAATATAATGAAGTGCAATGGTAAATAGTTCACCCCTCTTAACTTGTGAACGAGACAATCTGACCTTATGGAGGTCAGACAAAATTTACGTGAGACAGCGTTATTTTTAGGAAAGAAATACAATATTGTTTTATCAAACGTTGCCGAGAAGGCCAATAATACTTCATGTTTCAAAATAGAAGGGGCGTTCTTGTGATACCTCGTTTAAAACGTATTTCAATTTTCTCTCCAACACAGCTTCATTTCAAAAAATCGAATTTATTCGTTTCTGAGTAGTGAGCAGTTTGATATTGATTTCAAAAATCTGCAAAAATGATAAATGTCCCAGTTTCAGGAAAAATGTGATCTGAAGCCGCATCTTCGAGATGCTTTTCATTCTTTTCACATTCGCAAACTCCGTTATAGGCAATCTTTTCTGATTTTGAGTTTCAAAATGAGCTATGGTTGTGTTTCATACTCTTTCGGTGACACGTTTTACCACAAAAAATATCCAGAGGTGTTATTTCAGGAAATCTAGTGGGCTATTCTGAGGTACCACGTGTGCCTTTCTGCCTGTTCGGACAAACCCGCCAAATGTGATGGCGAGCCCGCCTCTATGCGCACAAACTCATTTACAGTGTACCCCCACTACAGTTCTTGCAAGACACTTATGCTCTGTACAGAGGTGTATCATTACTTGTTCTTCAATGCTGTTGGCGTTTGGCATTGTCTGAATAATTTGTGTTGTTCCTGAAAGAAATGTCATCGTCTAACAAAAAATCAGTCATCACGGGTTAGGCACGTGAAATGATTTTTGAAGTGTTCAATTATTTTGAAAGTGTTGAATGTGAGTCGGATACGTTATCAAATGTGAAAAATTGAACATCTCTACATACAGGTAACATTAAATACATCCAAACAATAACTATTTCATTACGAATCTTTAATTTTTATTAGGTATTTGAATAAGAACCTTCGAGAATTTGGTTAGAAAAGGGGAGCAACCAATTTCTGCAAATAACGGAAAAGTGAAATTTTCCACAGCAAGAAAGAAGCAGCCTAAAAGAGCACCAGTAACTGGTATTCCCGAGTATGAGTATTCCAATATCAAACAGATTATTTACGACTTCCATAAGAAGGAAGGATATCGTATTACGGTAAAAAAGTTCCAACACAAAATAATGATTTTTTAGGAATTGTGGCTTTCGAAATATTTCTTCGTAGAATTTCGAATTGAATAGATTTCAAATGGAGAAGGACTGAAAATAATACAAAAGTTTCAATAGAGAAAATGAACATTGGAGCATTATTTACAAAAAATCAGTTATTTTCATAGTCAACAACGACCAATTGTGTTTTTTGATGAAACATATCTTCATAGTGGACATACATCTTCCAAGAACTGGGCGGATGAATCAACCAAAAGGTTAACAAGGATAACTATAAAGAAACAATTTCTAAAACGGTAAAATACGAATGTTTCTTGCGTTGGGGTATCGTTTTATCGAAATAGGTTCCAAATGGAGAAGAACTGAAAATAATAGAAAAAATTCAATAGAGAAAATGGACATTAGAGCATTGAGGAACAAGTATTTACAAAAATCAGTTATTTCCGTAGCTAACAGCGACCAATTGTGTTTCTTGATGAAACATGTCTTTCAATCAATCAATCAAAATATACATTATTATCGAAAAAACTCTTGTTTTGTTGACAAAGTAGAATATACACGTATAGAAATAAAATTTAGGCAAAATACACACAATTATGTAAAATATAAATAAAATAAACTAAAAATCAAATGATCATATTGACAAGCAAGTGTCTTAAGGCAAAACATCGGTGTACAATGAACGTTTTCCGAATCGTCCTATCTGTAGAAAATATTTGAGGGAACTTGTATCCAAATTCACAACTACCGGTAGTGTACATAACAGAAAGCTCCAAGGTCATCCGACCATTCCGGAAGAACAGCAAGTGCAAATAATTGGTGAGATTGTAGTAAATCCTGAACAGTCTACTTATTCCGTCGCGAATGTTTGTGAATTTTTCTTCTGTGTGGAGACTTCTGAAGAGGAATAGGTATCATTCATACAAAATTAAAATAGTATACCAATTAACTGAAGATGACCCTGATTGAAGAACAGAATTCTGCTAAATCATGACCATTTCAAAGCATCCTACCTATCTCCACAATATTTGTTTTAGTGACGAATGTACATTTTTTCAAACGGCAATGTTCACAGACAAAATTGCCGTAATAGTAGTGACAACAACCATCACGTTTTTCGGGAAACACATACCCAATATCCAGAAAAAAATAATTTTTGGGCAGGACTATTGGGAAACCATATCGGAGGACCTCTATTTATTGATCAAAATTTAACAGGAAAACTGTATTTGAATATGCTGGAAACTACTGTTGACCCTCTCGTTACTGAAATCGTCAAAGCGAATCCTAATGAATTCGAAATGGATATTGTATTACAACAAGATGGAGCACCACCACATTACTCCAGGCAAGTGACAAACTATTTGGATACTACTTTTTCCGGTGATTGGATTGACCGTTGAGGTCCTACGGAACGGCCAGCCCGCTCGCCAGATTTGACACCTTTGTACTTTTCCATAGAGCTATTCGAAGCAAAAGGTGACCGAAACTGACTCTTTCAAAAAATGAAAGGGGGGGACATTGAAGAAAAACACTGTATAATGAGTGTGATTGAAGTGAATAAATAATCAGAAAATTATCATATAATCCTTTTCCCATAATAATCTAATTGAAGAATTCATTTATGATCTCACTTTGAATCTCAAGGATTTCACTGGAGGAGCAGCATACGGTATACCGTAATACCCAATGTAGGATGATCCATGATCCGAGTATACTTGCTTTCCTTGAACTACCCCATTTTTTGTTGACACTTGTAATGTCGAATTCTACAACATTGGAAAGTTTTTTCATTAGATACTACATTTTCAAAGCGAATGTACTCACGTATTTATTTTTGGCAAGGAAGGCAATACCATGGATCACCGCAACGAGGGTCATCTGAATAAAAAACCGAACTACACTTATCAAATTCATTGTTTACTGTTCGTTGAAAATCAGCTTTCAATGTTCAATGATCCAACCTTTACGTGTTCTTTAATCAGTATTGTTTAAGCAAAAAGTTGCTTACTTAAAATGTATATGATAAATATGAATACGTTAATTCTTGTAGAATAATTTGCGTATACAGGGCTGGCATCTTGGGCAAACAAAACCTCAATATTCGAAAAAGTTTCACTTCGGTCAGTTCGTTATTTCCAATTTGATTACATTTCTTAAGAATAATATGAATTACTTCAACATCACACAAGTCACTAAAGTTCTATATACAGAAACCTTTTTGAGAAATTTCGGCCACATTGTCCCACATAAACACTATTACACTCCGGACACTCGAGCTTATAAAGTCCAGAATTCTCCATCATGTCTACTTTACCTTTGGTATTGAAAAGAAAATTAGATAACCTAGATGCCACTTTGATATTACTTTTTCTGATTTGTAGGTTTTTTCATCCGTCTGGAAACTCTTAACAGATATCAAAAACTCATTTATTTTTCCTGTCATAGAAATCAAGCAAAGCCCACACGTTCAAAAATGATGATGCTATTTGATTGTACCAAATTACAATCCAATCGCATTCTGATCAAAAACTAATATTTTTGTTACTTCCAAGATTGAGTCATAGCATCAAAATAATTTGGTTTTGATAGTATCAGTATCAGTAATCAGTATCAGTAATATCTTTCTTTTTGAATTGAATTTCTGTTTGCTGATCGACAACTTCATAATCTGGTTGACTTTTCAGATGACATATTTCAATTTTCTCATTTCTGAAAATGACATTTCTACTCAAGATAACGTCATTTTTTTCTGGTCCCCAGATTCGATATACATCCTCATTACTAATATATCCCACTAAAGATCCATTCATGCCTTTCTTAGCAAATTTTCTTCTCTTTTGCTTGGGTACGTGGACAAAACAATCAGTCCCAAATACCTTGAAACGTTCTACATAACTCTCTGTTCCTGTCTACAACTCAATACAAATCCATGATTTCCTATTTTTTTAGGTATAGGATTTCTGGGCATTTGTGTTGACCTTTATTTGCTGACTGGTCTTTGCGACGAGAAAAGCTGATTTTTCATGAGTATTGTCACTACTTCTGTCCTGCAAGCGAAGTTCAACAGTACAAAGTCTTTCTCGGAGAAGAGTGGAGTTTCTTTGGGATTTAGGAATAGATTCCCAGGCATTCATGAATTCGATGTAATCAGGAGGCATGGTATTTTAAACTCTATTTATGAAAAGTGATTCAGGTAATTCTACTATATCTTCCTTTCAAGTTTCATCTTGTAATTCTACCTAAAGTTGTTCTAATTTTGCCATATGCTTTGCTACACCATCTGAATGATATTTCACTTTCACGCTAAAAAATTCATTGAACAGTCAATCCTGTCTATGCTTTGTTCGTTGTTCGAAAACACTATGTAACTTATGTCACATCTCTTGAGCGGAATTACACATATCAACCACCAACTGTCTTGTCTGAGAGCTCAAACTAAGCTATTAGATTTTGGGCAGTATACTCTAGCTTATTATAAACTGCTAACTGTTTACTATAAGCAGCTTTCTGATTCCCTGATGCCACTGGAGCTAATTCTTCAGGTTTCTGAAGCGTACCTTCCCCAGCTTGTATTGCTTCATACGCATGTAGTTGAATCTTCAACTGGAACTTCCAGTCGACCCAATTTGGGCCCATAAACTGTTGAGTTTTAGGTCGAACACAGGATTATTGAACAGTAAACAACTTTAATGAAAATAAATAGACAAATCTCAGAAAAAATAATTCAACTAACTTGACAGTGACAACTCTATCAACAACTTTTTTTATCAATAAAACAAAACCTAATACATGGTGATGTAGATCAAATTCTTGTTCATTCCTCAACACATATGAAGCATCCAGGGATGTAAAATAGAAAACTTGTTATTGGTCTTCTAGCTCGATGTCCACGTACTATGGTATCTCGTCTCGAAGGCCAGGTCTTGTCTTTGGCTGGCTAAATGCTTCAAAGGCCTGAAGAGTTTTGGATGCAGAGGTGGTTGGTTCCCTACGGAAATTGCTATGTAGTTACGAAATTTCCATCTGCATTTACAAAAGATGTGAAGGACTACTAACGGAATGATGAAAATAGTGCTAAAGTATGTGAGCCAAGAGATGTTCCGGTTAAATAAGGTTGGTTGTCCAAATCGTTGACGTTCAGGTCACTCAATTTCAGCGGTTTCAGATTTGGAAGCCTGGATTCATCCGAGATGCAGTAAGAACCTCATATAGTATCAAAACTGGGTGAGATCTATAGGAAACTTTTGACATTCACAAAATCTGGAATCTCTTTGGATCTCCGTTTTTCCAATGGAAGCATTTCACTCATTTTCAATAGTGATCAAAGAGTTTAATTTTGTAACTCAGTTTCGACATTTTCCAGGATGAAATATCAACAGTCATAAAGGTTCAGAAAGTATCAGGGATCACACGTTTTCTATTTTGTGCACTTTGTTGTAATTTTGAACAGAAAATTGGGGAGTGTGACAGTTCCTTGGAATATTCCTGGGGCATCTGAAAATTGGAGCTTCACAGATTGAATTTTGGTCAATCGGGTACTGGAACATATCGTAACATAATTGAGTTCAGTCCGTGAATCAATGTTTAAGACACTCATATCCGTGATTAGTGTAAACATCAAAGAATCATAGTCTTTCGCGAGACATATTGTTTCGAAGTTAACAAAACATTTTGTAACCCTGTTCTACTTGTGATGCACTGTTTGGAACCTATAGTATAATAACCTAACCTAACCTAACCTAACCTAACCTAACCTAACCTAACCTAACCTATGTATAGTAATGAATATTACTAGAGTTTTTTCTCCAACACGAAACAGTTATTTTAACACCTCGCCACGTGTTTCGAATACCGAGTTATCTTCTTCAAGAGAAAGATCAAACTATTCATACTTGCAAAGCCATCCTTACTAATACTATAGATACCTGTTCGAGGTATCTGCGTCTAAAATCAATGTCACAATCACCAAGTGATAATTTTCAAGAGGAAGATTAAACTAATCATACTTACAAAGCTATCCTTACTCATACCATAGATACCTAGTCTACCATAGTCTACTAGTCTTTAATCAGATTAGCAGATAAGACAATAATGTGAATTCGATTTAAGACACTTGAGACGAAGGTACCTAGTTTGTTGTTGAAAAAAAACTCCAGTAATACCCTGTTCTACCTTTAAATATTGGGATAGGATATAATTGGTATTTGATGTGAACTAGAGGTTTAGTCAAAGGACTTTTGAATACAAATATCAAGTTGGATTTGGTTCGAAATGCTTCTAGTTTGATAACCTCACGATATTGAGCAACTTTGTCCAAATGAGGTGAAAGTGTAAGTTGTTCCTTTCTGAATTTTCAGAAATTTTCAGTAAAGTATTCACCAATTGAGCAGGTGAATGAATAATATTCATTGTACAAATGTTATTGAATCTATTGGATGAATAGAAAGATTTCCATTACCTACCCTGTCATTGATGTTTATTATTGACTGTTATATAGCTTCAATATCTCCATTATTGTTTTTCCGTTAATTTACAATTGATGTTTGTCTTTAATTAGCTTGTTTATTGAAATTTCATTTGTACAGATATCGAAAACTGATATGTGTTTTTACCTCCGAAAGAAATGCTTTGACCCTGAGATGAGGTTATATCAATTAATGAATCGATGATTTTAACATTGTTATCAAAGACTTTTTTATATTGCAACGTTTTTTTTGTTGATTAGCAAAGTCTATAATCGTTCAAGAGAACAATATTACCTTTACCAAAATAATATACGCCTATAGTATGTTGATCGTTTCAATTTTGTAAAAGGCTACTGGTCCATTGAATATATTTTACAGCTCTTTTTTTCTACGATTCCTACACGTATAATTTGTCGCCTATTTTAGAGTTCGGTAGTTCGCTGAAAATGTTCCAGTCAAAGTCGCGTGCGACTTTATATAGGGTCTTTCATTTATTGAGTCTCTTTTGCCAAATCACGGGAACTCGTGGGAACACGCATGAATGAAACAAACACAAAAACAGAAACAACGAAAACAAAAACCAATCCCGAGGCTGGACAGAAGTGCTCACCTCAATCTAAGGCGGTGACTGGAAATGAACAGAAATGTCCACCCCAATCTACCGCTTGGAAAGAGGCTGGACATAGCAGATCACCACGTGATGTAATACAGAGGCCAAGGCATAAACACATTTGCGATGCCGAAGCCAAAAGGAGAAAGAGAGCCAAGAAGGCAGGAGTCGTAGCAACTATAAGTGCACCCTCCTCCTCCCCCAATCCACCTCCAACAGCAAGGGGACTCACTGCGGCGGGCGCCAAGAGCTACGCCTTGAATGAAGGCAAGGATCCGGCTGCCCCTGCAGGAAAGCTCCCTCACTTGTGCACCTTCACGGAGGGAACCCCAAGAAGTTTGAAGAAGTCACGCAACGACCGTAATATCGCTGCACCTACCAAAAACTGTGCGGATGCCATCGTGAGAGACCTCAAAGTTGCCAAAGGGAGTGTGTGTTCGGCGAGTCTTGGCTTACACCTGCCAATATGAAGGAGATGTCTCCTAGTGACCTGTCCACCTTCCTGGAAAAGACAGGATAGAAGATGACCTAGGAGGACAACTCTTCGGGAGGATGTACAATGGGTCACATATGGCCTAAGTGCTGTGGGTCTACACTCACCCTCCCTACTCTATAGATACAAATAAAGATACTTTCAAACGAAATGGTTTCACGCTTTGACCCTAAGATGAGGTCATTTCAATTGATGAATCGATGATTTTAACATTGTAATCAAAGAATTCTTTATATTGCCATGTTTTTTTGTTGATTAGCAAAGTCTATAATCGTTCAAGAGAACAATATTACCTTTCTCTTAATAATATACGCCTACAGTATTGTTGATAGTCTCTATTTTGCAAACGACTTCTCTTCCGACCAGTAGAAGTAACCTGAAAATAAATTAATTTTCAATGTACGATTCAGCTTCGTTTTTGGATCAGTTTGATTAAAAGTATCGTTGAATTTTGAAACAGTTGTTCTATTATGAATGGTCCATTGAATATATTCTACAGCACATCTTTCTTCACGATTTTTACACATATACTCTGTTCCTATTTTAGAATTCGGTGGTTCGCTGAAAATGTTCCGGTCAGAGTCGCGTACGACTTTATACATGGTCTTTAATTTGCCAAATTACGGATATAGCACTCAACAACACGTGCAAATAATGAAATTGTGCACTCTCTATAAAAGTATACAGAAGAATCCGAGAAAATTTATTAGGACTTCAGTAAAACTCCTCAAATCCTATTCAACAGATGAAATTTCAGATAGTCTAACCATTCAGAGAGGTGTACCACAAGATAGCATTCTTGGTCCTCTTTTACATACATTGTATATAAACTATCATCATAATTTTTCCCATTGTAATTATCATCCATATGATGATGATACTCAATTGTGTTTTTGTTTCAATGTGGTCGAATTTGTAAAAGCTAACGTTATAATCTAACATTATCGAAAAAACATTTTCTAAAAATCAATTCTTTGGAAACTTGCGTCATTTTATTCGAAAATCAAATTCAAAAAATAGAAGCTACGAATAGACTACGAATCTGTATCAATGATGATGTTACCAATTTCAGGGATCCTGTAAAAAATCTTGGTTTATCTGGTCTCAGAATTGCGATTCTAAACTGAAAATGGCATACGCAGCTCTGCAGTTGTTATATCCTCATCGAAATGAAATGAATTTAAAAACAAGAAAAAATGTAATCCGAGTCAATGGTTTTATCACATTTCAACCATTGTGAAATGGTTTATGGTCTTTTTCTTCGGTCATCTGATGCCTTTCGTATCCAAAGGTACAAAATACATGTCTACGTCTAATTCTCAGTCTCAAAATGGGCTGGTTAAGTATGTCTAATCGTCGTTCACTACATTCGCGTTGTTTTTTTATGAAATTTTCAAAACTAATACACCTGAATATCTGTGAGTTGAATTATTAAAATAAATATTTACAATTTGTTTAGGGGAGTGTGGAAAAATCGGTCAACTGACCTAACACTACTCCATTCATTTTGCTGTTTTCTTCAGGTTAAGTTTTACACTCCTGTAATTATTTTACCAGCAAGCAATAAACAATTTTTTTCTTAAACGCGCTGGTCAGGCCCTATTCTTCGAAGCCCCGATACATTCGGGAGGGCGCGCCAGCATTATCAACCAACGACCACTCCCCACACCGTGGGGTAAGTGATCATTGGGTCCGAGAATCATGTGCCCTGAGCAAGCGCAGTGAGCTGAGTATGACAGCCTTCTGCATCTGTCCGACTAAGATTTCTGCCTTAGTGTGGCAAGCCGGTATGATTTTAAGATTCGAAAGTAGAGAGAACATCGTTCCATCAAGGACTCCAATAATCAGAAAAACCATCTCGACAGAGTGATCTGGATAGAGTATGCGGAGTTCGAAGAGAAAATCACGATATTTTATCCGTTTTTCGGACGATATTCGTCTCGCCAGCAGCTGAAAACTACACGACTAATGTCGTCTTGCTCTGGTGGACGAGAAGGGCTACATCAGGCTTATTAGCTTGCATGAGCCTGAGGGTGGGGAACGAATAGTTCCAATAAATTCGGCACTTCTCGTTCCACACAACTGATTCAATATCCCCCGGAGCGTAGGGCAACACCTGTGTCTCGTCAAAACCGCAAGAGTGCTGTAGATGGTATTATGGCAATCTGAGGGTCGCGTTATGTCGATGGATGTAGGCCAAGACCGCATATGCTGAACATGCTGATAGCAAGTGCATTAGGATCTCGGGCGCCTCGTGGCAGGCCCTGCACCTTGTGTCAGAAACCTCTATACCTATCACGCGACAGCGGTAGACTAAGGTGTTGAAGACATCATCCTGGCAAGCCATGATGAACCCTCAGTTTCCGACTTCAGCCCACTCGACCTGAGGAAAGCAAAAGTCAGGCGCTTTGACAAGCCAAGGTCTCCAATGTTATTGAAGAGAAGTGAGGTGATCTCTGTGTGGCTTTTATCTGAGCTTTTTGATGAACGGGTTCCAACTCGGTGACAGAGTTGTGGTCAACTCGTTCAATGTCGAAAACTAAATTAAATTAAAGTGAGTTCACCAGTTGTTCGGGCAGCTGCCCTAAAGAGAAATGCTCCAATTCCTGCTCTCTCATGGTCACGGACCGTGCAGAGAAGGGGATCTGAATTCCTGACGACTTTACAGGCTATATTCAGTACAATTTTGTCATGTAGACACTTCAAACTCAAAAGTCCACGGCTTCCTTGTTGTCGGGGGAAGTACAACCGTGGAACGGACGATTTGGGATGCAAACTCTTATAGAGATGCATCATTTTTCGGGTCTTTACGTCGAGTTGACACAGCTCCTCCTGAGTCCACTTCACTACTTTAAACGAGTAGAGTGAGATTGGAACGGCAAGCATATTTGTTGCAGCAACTTTGTTCTTCCCCAAAGTGATATCAGTTGTTCAATGCATCTCACTATTTTGTCGGGTACCGCAAGGCATCTGAGCAAATGCAAGATGAGCTCGTGCGATATTGTATCAAATGCCTTACGGTAATCGATCCACGTCATAGAGAGGTTACGCTTATATTGTATCGAGTCCTGCATTATATATCTATCGATGAGCAGGTTCTCTTTACATCCAGCGACTCCTCTCTTCGACCCTATTTGCTCATATATCCGTTCGAACACTCGGTCAACTGCGATAAGTATTCGTGTGTATAACATGCTTGTAAACAACTTGTAACACAACACAATTTATTATTATCATTATTATTATTATTATTAATCGATTTCCGTCGCTCACAAGAACTCGGCCTTTCGCATACCACAACTTGGCGAATTTTGTGTCGTGACTTAGGCCTTCAGCCGTACAAAATTCAACTGACCCAGATATCTTACACACATTTTGTTTTATTTAAGTTTGAAGCTAGGAGGCTAAATGAAAGACGCTATACATTTGGTACTAGATTTCATTAATTGAATTTGAATTTTTTATTGTCCATTAGATGCTGATTCCCTATGAAATCATTATTCTTTTATAATCATTATTTGTTTCGTGTATGTTTTCTCTTCAATAATTACAAATACTTGAATTGATAAGTTCCATTTATTTCTTGATTGTACATTCACTTTGAATTTTCGGCTAGTTCATTCAAAAAATTAACATATTCTAATCGAAAGTTTTTCTCAATACTGAAGTTAACGTCAATTCTTAAGTAAGGAATGTCTTTGGTTTTCGGTATTTGCGGCCAGATGATATTCTGCAGGAGTGGATCTACTGTTGGAGTTGGATTCCTAAAAAAAAAAAATGTGTTTGGTTTCATACAGTGAATTTAGGTATAAAATCAATTTTTGGATCAGATGGCAACTGCATCCCACAATGAATTCATAAATTAGAAGATATTTTTACATTGTAAGATTTTTGAGTAAGATTTTAGACTGATAGCCGAGTTATGCAGAAATTTTGGGACTTGATATAGTCCATTATGAATTGATATTAAACGTCAGATGGATGAATAGACTGATAGCCGAGTTATGCAGAAATTTTGGGACTTGATATAGTCCATTACGAATTGATATTGAACGTCAGATGGATAAATTCAATCACAAGCAGAAAAAATGAGTTAACGAAGATTTCATTGAAAGTTTGTGGCAGAAAAGAAGACCCGATTCACAGAATACACTATCTGTTGACATGATACAACTGAAACAAAAGTGAAAATCAACAAAAATGTATTTATTATCTATTGTGAAAGTCAAACCAACAATTTCTATCGGCTAAGACAACAATGACCCCATAATCTGTATAAAATCTGTTTTTCCGTCAACCAGCTGTCGCACCCCTACGATTGACAAACCTCAGAAGTCGAACCTTGTGCGAGCTAAGGATTAACGAAGTCTTACCTTTTAACGTGTGATTCCTAATACTTCGCGAAAATATTTTGGAAAAAAATATAGAAAATGTCAGTAAAAATAGATGTGAATTCGGACTACTGTGACACCTTCATTTCTAACTCAATCATGAAAGCGCGTATGGTCCTCATCGTTGATGTGTGGGAGGCCGATGTGTTTATGCAAAGCTAACTTCGTCTCTGAATAGGATCACGCCTCGAACAAAGACCCCATCAAAATAAACACAATTAAAACTATTTCCATTCGGGTTTGAAGGCCGTCGTAGTTTGAAACTGCATCCTAACGCCAGCACGAATGGCTGGCTTCTTCAGGGGTTTATTTACCTTGATGATTCACTGATGACTGGTGATTTCTAGTTCATAGGTTGTATTTATGTTGATTCAGATAGTTCGCCCCCATTGTTGATGCGTTGCTTTTGGCCGAAGTGTTATTACCTGTTGATGACGTAACATCGCATTGCGCCGTTACCACATCAGCATCTTTCAGTATGGGATTTCACATCCGGTTAAGCGTTACCGCCTTCTCTTTAGTGTTGTAGTTTTCTTTATGTTTATGAATTTCTAACAGTATCTACAAACAGTATCGTGTTATCTCAGTGACAGTTTCTCCGATGTTCATTCAACCTTGTACCCATCGACCTTTTGGTGGTACCGATATAAACTTTACCACAGGTGCATGGTATATATACGATATACCTATGCAGCTGATATGGAATCTCTTTCATCTTTCGCAGATCTCAAGCTTCGATGTATTTTTCTGGTGGGCTTGAACACTGTTTTCATTTTATGCTTTCCTGAGATTTTTTCGATTCTGTCTGTAGCCCTAGGGATGTACGGTATAAATGCACGTTTGAGTTTCCTCCTTGTTTTGACTTGTGGAAGTCTTACGTTTCATGGCCTTGTTGATTTTGGTTATATTCTATCAATTCGATCTTAAAGCCATTCGAAGATAATTCAATTCTTTTTGTAGGTGTTCCGGTTCATATTCTACGGGCACGTTCCGTCAGAGTGTTGATAATTCTCCGATTCTGACTTGGATGGTGGCTCGAAAGTGCATGCAGATATCTGTCCGTATATGTGTCGGTTTCATTTACACTTTATGTGTCAGTCGTGTGCCACACCTCTCGATGAATACATCTAGAAAAAGTATCCGTTGTTCCTGTCCAGTCTCCATGGTAAACTTGATGCTAGGGTGCTGAGCATTTATGTGGTCTATAAATAGGTTCAGGTTCATGTCTCCAGATGACGAAGGTGTCTTCCACGTATCGTAGCCAAATGGTTGATTTGAAATAAATCGAAAGCGTCGATTGCCTTCTTCTCAAATTGTTCCATGAAGAAGTTGGCTATCACCGGGCTGAGTGGACTTTCAATCGTTACACCAACCTGTAATCTACGAACTGGAAATCACCAGTCATCGGTGAATTATCAAGATGAATAAACCTCTGAAGAAGCCAGGCACTCGTGCTGGCGAAACGTGTTAAGGCAGTTGCAAACTACGAATAGAGACAGTAACACTGATCTCGGCCGCGAAAGCCTTAACCAATTTTTACAATTAAGACATTTTCAAAAAAAAACATGTGATAAACGTATCCGAACTGAATTGAACCTGGTTTTCACGTGAATTGAAAGCGTTTGATTTGAAGGTGATGAAAGTTTTGATGTATTGTTTGTGTCAACAGTATCGACTACTATAGTCATTGGGCTCGTGTTCTGGTAAGGCTGTATTGGTACCTTCCACAGCGTCATGATTATTCCACCTACCTGAGCGATGTTGAAATGAAAATATCGAGCAATCCGAGGTACAAGAATAATGGCTGTTAACATAAAGTATCTGAAAGTAGTTCCGAAAACTAGTATTTTATCAGCTGAAAAGATGAGGTGAATCATAATATGAGATACAGTAAAGTGATCCTGAAAATTGAATATGATGCTATATATTTCATGGTTCGTATGTAACGTTGATAACAATATTCACCATGTTTAGGTTGGTTGTCATACTCGCACATCAGTCCACGTAGCTTAGAAAAGATGTTTCAAGCACGCTGAAACTCATGATAATTCGCTTTTCGGGGTGACTAAATTAGAAGACAACCGCTAATGTTTGAAAATGTTTCAGAGTGATAATGTACCTATTACCTCAAATAGTACTGGAAATGTTTGAGGAAAGTGTAGTGTTGAGTGTTTGAAGTGAGCAAATCAATTTTTTTGTTGACGAATGATATTATTGCCGAATGAATTACAGCAGGTTACATTTGTTGCGGATCAAACCAAGTGTTTCAAAAAATGACTGATTCAAAATACAATATTTTGTGTTCTTCTGATAAATATTCAGAGTGAGAATATTTCATTGAACTCACCCATATCTCGCAAAATTGGACCATATTTTAGTCATTCTTTTCCTCGTTTCATCGGCTTCTGGAGAGGTTCCGTAGTTCCACAGTTTATCGATTACGGCAGTGAAACACTCTGTATTTTATTATAGACTAGCTGACTCGGCAAAATTTCAATCACCTTGTGATCAATGTTGTGTTTTGTACACTATTTTACATTGCGTACGAGATTGAGTCAAAATAATACAGCCATATTTTGTTGTTAACACGGAAGTTCATTTGACACTATCTGGTTGTTCAAAGTTGGAGTCAACATCCTCAACAAGGTCTTCGTGAAGATTATCATGATGGTAATAGGTATATCGATATCGTATATATGTGATGAAATTGATCGATATTTGATGTAAATCCAAAACATATTCAAATAACATTTTCATACTCAGTATAAACGCCTCAGAGAGCTTGTATAGCTTCGTGAACTATTCAAATATTACTTAGTGAGGTTTACCTCCAGAGAGAGAGCCCAGCATGCTATNCTTCATCATAATTAATGTCGAAAGTAACCGTCAGCGGTACTCTGTCATAGTAGTTGCATATTAGAATTATCAATATGCCATATATAAAGTGATATCAAAAAAACATCAATCTGACGTTTGACAAGGCATAGATTTGACTCCTTGAGAAAAAATATACACGTTTTCGTGATATTTATAGAACTTCTTGTTGTGTGTAGACCCAGAACACAAATATGTTTTGTGCTTCAGATGACGTTTGGCTTGTGACACTCAAGTGTCACAAGCCAAACACATTCGGATTCGATAACACATATATTTCTACCAAGAATAATTCGATCTCCTTCCTAGGCTTTCATTTAGATCAACATTTAAAGCCTGAAGCGTACATGATGACAGGCTTGAACATCGTGTTATAGATCGTGATCTTGTTTTTCGAACTCATCTTTGATTTTCTGTTGATCAGAGACAGACTGGCTATCCGACCCTCGATCTTAGATTTGACGTACATAATGTGCGGGTTCCAAGTGAGCCTACGGTCTATCAAAAGGTCTATCTTCCCATGGTTATCGCCTGAGTCGGGTTGAGATAGTTAAACATTGCTCTTGCCCTTGATTTTTTTCCAATAAATCACCAACTATTTCGTTAGTGCACAGCGGGTTGGCTACCCTTGTTCATCTTTTACTGCCTGAACCACCGTGCATGCTGTTTTTGGAGTTTGTTTGGAGTGCATTGGCTTGTGATGTGGGGGTTGAGCAAACCAGCCATCGGATGTCTGCTTCCACGCAGCCCCTGCTGGATACGAGAATGACAGAATCACTTGTGGTGATCCAATAACTGAACCTGAAAAAAAAGTTTGGTGGTGCAGCCAGGAAACGACTGAGTCGTCTCCTCAAGAGCAGGGTACCTTATAAAACCGCCTTGCCCCAAATTCTTGAGCGGCTTCCGTAGATGATTCACCAAAACCAGAGGCGAAAACGCCCGGCACGGTTGGATCTAAGGCATCGTCAGGTGTAGCTGACGTGCAAAAACCCTCATATGGTAAGGTTGTAGCGGGTATCAAGGTGGTAATCTCACACCTTGAGTGCCCGATTCATTAACGATGAAACAACAGAGCATACACTTTGTGCTTGCCACGCTGGGGACCGAATAAGGTTTTTAGAGTTCGTCAGAGCGGTACTCTTACCATCTGACCTGGAAGACCACTCACCATACAAACTAATCGGCTTCGTCAAGAAGCTGGGTTTATTTGGTCAAGTGTGAATATGTGTGAGCCACAATAAACTCTTGCGGGTTGCCGTGGAGGGTCGAATAGACCCACTCACTTTGGACCTAACCTAACCAGTGCACAGCTTGAATGTATGAACAATGTAGAGATATATTAAATAATATTGCAGTAGTAAAGATCACAAGACAATTAAATGATTAAGTATGTATTAACTGGAAATATACATACCCTGCAGGGAAATATCCAACGGATATCCACCATTTCGTAAGAACTCTTTTGCGTGCAGTGTTCTGTACTCAAACACATAAAAATAAACGGGAATAAACGAAGACATTATTTTGGCGCTGTTGGTTATCGGCCTCGTATACATTAGATCGCTGAGCAACTGAAATATAATTGAAATCGATGTACTTACTTGAGAAGAAAAATAATATCAATTTGATTGACGATGCATTCGTAATCAGCTTTATTCAAAAATACTTCCAAGTGGAAAGTGTAATGGTAAAAGTGATTTGCAGTGATCTGAGAGAATCTCTCTGAAAATCAATCTCTTCTGAATCAATCTCTCTGAAATCCCGTTATATTTTTTTTATGTCAATACATTTTTCGATTTTTCGAGATGTTTTATGTTTGATAGGTATCTGAGAACTAATAATAAATTACAGCACTTCACTTAAGTGTGCTCTAAAAATGTTTGAGAAACTATTGGGTATGAAAATGGGTATTCACTTAAATGGTATGAGCTTTCCTCATATTCATGAAAAAATTGGAAAGTTGAAAGAGGAACATCTACGAAAGAGTGTTTCAGTAACACCTTTAGACTTTTGGTTCAGTACTTTCAAAATCCATCCATTATATTGAATATACTCAACATACATTTCAAAAAATGTATCAAACTCGATTGTTTCAATGTAGGTTATGAACAAATGAAAATGAATATCAACCTACCTGTGCAATCTCGTCGCTGGTGACATTCACGAAGCTATTGTTTTTGAAATATTTCTTTTTCACTTCGCGTGCAAATTTTCGTTTTCCTGATTCAGAGGTTATATTCATTTGATTGGGAAATATCGTGGGACTCCATTCGTACAATAGGAAGAGAAATCGCAGAAGAGGTATTGCTATAAAAAACATAAATGAATTTTCGAAAATGTGCACGATATCAAATGAATGTCGATAAATATTGAAAAAAATTGTTAGTACATGCATACTAACTATTTCAACAGTGTAAACAGTTATGTTTGACTGGGTTAGTGAAAAACTTTCGGTTGATATTTTTCACTACATGAAAATGTTTTTAGTTTTCGTGATATTGAGTGTGAGCAAGTCATAACTCAAGGTTTGTTTCAAAATTGACATGCCAACTTCAGCCTGCAATAAGGTCTCATCCCAGTTATCTCCATCCACTACATACTTATACCGAGTCATCTGCAAATGAATATAGATCACCATCAAGATTTGTATTTAGTAAATCGTTAATGTGAATAAAAAAAAACAGGTATTTAATCGTGCCTTGAGGAACACCACACTTTGTTATTTTTTAGTTACTCTTATATTTATTTATTTTTACGAACTGTTTTCTGATTCTAAAGTAACTCCGAAAAAGTTCAAGGCAAATACCTCTTATTCGCTATTGTGTTAGTTTCTCCAAGAGTTTAGAGTGAGATACAGTTTCAAAAGCTTTCTTCATATCTAAAAATATTCCAATCACTTTTTATTGGTATTCAGACTATTGTTATATATTTGGAATTACACTGAAAATTGCAATTGCATTGTTGACATTCTTTCCTTGAAGCCAAATGGTTTGGTTGACACATTTTTCGGTTCGAAATTTATCACTTTTGTCTTATGTTACTTCTAGTGGCAAAACATTCATTTGTGAATGTAACCTCTATCTCATATAATACTTCTTCAAATGCAAATTATTCATGAAAAATAATTCGTTTGAACAGTTGTTGAAATTATCGAAATACAGTTTTATATATTCTAGCATAATATGAAACTATGATTTTGATCGAAGGGTTATGTAATAATCAGAAACTAACGTTTGTTTGAAGGTAATTGACAATGTTTCTTGGTGCATTTTATTACTTCGGACTTCCATTGTCTAATATGATATAAATTGATTTGAAATACCTGAAAGAATCTGTGAAAAATGAATAAGAGTATGCTGAAAAGTAACAATTATATTAAGCAAAAAAACTGAAATAAAATGAAATAAACACAAGCAACAACCAAATCAAATCAAAAGAAAATTAAACTGTTAACACGAGATGAAGATTAAAGAATTATTAGAAGGAAATGAAAATTGAAAATTAAAAATATTTGAAACCCAGTTATTTCACGACGTTTCGATTGTTAGTATCCACCATCGTCTTCGGGTGATAACTGGACTTATTTCTCTGATCTGACTATTTATAGGTTATTCGAGTGCTTCCACCGATCCCCTCTTTCCTCTCTCCGCTTCATTGGTTTTAACGGAAGCTGACCGTTTGGCGGGAGTTGGTCGTGATCCGGTTGATTAGTGATTTCCATATATTGCGTATCTTCACGCTAGCTTGGCTAATGATCAGCCGAAAGGGTAGGGGAGCTGGTCTCCAAATCCTGAATGAACTGAAGATGATCGTCAAGCTTGGCTAAATGCGTTGTTGAACAACATGTATGCGGCTTCTTTGAATCTTCTCCTAAACTAGTGTTCTTCCTTGTGGATGATTACAGCTTGAGCCTACTTGATGTTATGTTGATGAGTCCAAACGTGCTCTGCTATTCCTGATTTGCTGGTTTCTACTCGCTGTGTGTGTTTCTGATGCTCGGCAATGCGAACTTTCAATGACCTCTTAGTTTCATCGATGTATGATTTTCCGCACTCGCAGGGTATCCGGTAAATACAATTCTTGGAATCGCAGTCCGCGTTTGGTGGCCTGGTTTTTGTGAGGCTGCTACGGATAGTGTTTCTAGATCTGAAGCAGGTTCTGATATTATACTTGGAACCAATCCTTCTTCTCCTTTTCGACAATCCTCTGATGAAGGGAAGTATAAGTACTGGTTGTGGCAGCTTCTCTTTCTTGTGGAGCTCTTGCTCCACAAGCTGAAGCTTGTTCTACCATCACTTTGGAGTAAACATTTCGTTGAAGGTCATTTTTGATGATGTCTAGTTTCTTTTCGAGACCTTCCTTTGTATTACAGAGCCCGAAAGCACGGTCTAGTATAGTCTTGATGATTCCTCTCTTTGTGGTTGGATTCCTGGTTTAGATACTGTCCTGTGTGAGTGGGTTTCCGATACACAGATGTTTCCCATTTCGTGTCGGTCCTCTTCACCAATACATCTGAGAATGGCAATTTGTTGTGGAC